ATATTCTACATTGTAAGTTAGTTCTGTAGGAAGCCTGTGGAATGATCGAGCCTCTGAGACTTGCCTTTGACCTATGAATCCTGTGCTAGAATGTCTTATCAGCTTACCATTACCGTAATAGATATAGAGGTTTGTGCACCCACAGGTTTTTAGGAATTTGGTAATTAGTGTGGGTGGTGGCGGCACATGCCTTTAATTAATCCCAACACTCAGGAGGCAGAGGCAGGCGGATCTCTTGTGAGTTTGAGGCCAGCCGGGTCTACAAAGGAACTCTGGTCTGAAAAAACAAGAGAAAGAATTTAGTAACTATGGGAGAATGGCTTACTGCAGTTCTTACAGAAGATTTCGGTTCAGTTCCCAGCACCCACACGGCAGTTAACAACTGCCTATATCCAGTTACAGGGGATCTGACCCTCTTCTGGCCTTCTTAGGCACTCGCAAGCAGGTGGTACACATAAACTTTAGAAGTTATTTGTGTACAATTTAAAATAAGAATTCAGTAACTATGACTGAATTATATTTATTGGAAGGCCATTGTATAACAACAACAACCACCACCAAAAGACCAGTTTTGGGTACTCTCAGCACTCCCAGTGAGTTAAGCAGCAGGGATCCTAGGCTGAACTTTGTGGAGACTCCTTGAGCTCAGGTTAGCCCATCATGGAGAAGATGGCCTGTTGGTACTGTCAACAGTGAAACTACAGCATCTGAGTGTCTGCTGAGCATCTATCAGCCAGTCGCTACACTACAATTAATGGGCTGAAAAAGACACTTCGTGATTTCTAATCCCCAAGGCCATACCTTCTTCAGAGGAGCCACCCACGCCTGCCGCAACTCCCATTTGCAAAACAAATAAAAAGAAAACTCAGACAAATAAGTTTTTTTTTTCCCTCTGAATGAAGTTTAATAGTGTTCAGAACAAGGCCTTGGCCTGCTCTGTGGTCAACGGCAGCATCGCACTCAGATTGGGCCCCACATCTCCTCTAACAAGACTAACAGGAGAGAGAGAGAGAGAGAGAGAGAGAGAGAGAGAGAGAGAGAGAGAGAGAGAGAGACCGACCCAGGGTCTTCTCATCTTCTTAGGTTCTTCCTAGATGAAGACCACAGTGGAAGTTAGAGAGCCTCTTAGTTTCTTAGATGCTAATCTTGGCATTCATCAGAGGCCTGCTAGAATGGACGTCACCTAAGCACCGATGGGGCTCCCTGTACTTTGGCTGATCCTCAGATGAGGGAAGGACAGTCTCCTTGCAGAGTAAGGCTATGAAAAACACACGGGCAGTTGGCACCAGCTGCCCAGTCTAAGCACTCCCGTAGTGACGGTGACGTGATTGGTGGTCACTCACAGAGAAGACTATAAAGAGAGACACTGCCACTAATGAGGAATTTGAGGGTTCTTTTTAATAGCAGGGGCTTCCAATCAGAAAAATAGACAGAGATGATAGACTTCTAGCTCTGCAGGCCACGGAGGAAAGCGTCTCCTGCCACAACAATCTGTCAAGATGAGGCAAGGAGAGGGAAGGGTAGGGTGAGCCTTTTCCAGACTCTTGTAACCAGGTGGCTAGGGGGCACCTGCCACTCACTGCAAAGCCCCTCACAGAGCTGGCTGCATTCATCTGTTTACTTCACCCGGTTTCCCAGCGCCTCCCCTGGTGTGAGTTAACTAGAAGAAGACTGTATGGCAGCTAGCTCCGCTGCACCATGCTCGTGCTACAGAGTGGAAGAGCTAGCGTGTCTTTTTGTAGGCGAGAAAGACGTTTGGTATCTGCCATCTCTCCAGACAAGAAATATCCTGAAGTTCAGAGGGAAGCACATGGAAGTTTGGGTTATTTTTGTGTCTTTTAAAAATAGAATATACTGCTGGGCATAGTGGCACACACCTTTAATCATACCCTCGGGAGGTAGTGCCAGGGGGATCGCCTGTGAGTTTGAAGTTAGTTTGGTCCACATAGTGAGTCCCAGGACAGCCAGAGCTACAAACGGAGACCCAATTTCAAAAAACAATCCAAAATACAACCAACCAAACACACACACACACACACACACACACACACACACACACACACGGCTGGGATCAGGCTGGCTGAGCTCTTTCCGATGGAGATTTCACCTACTATGAAACTAGAAACTCAACAGTTCGTTATGTATAGCACAGTGGTTAGCTAGTTTGGTCAACTGGTCTCCATGGGAGGTTGGTGGATTCTCAGCTGCCATTTCCCAAGCTCGCCAGGGGAAGATGTTGCTACTCCCATGGGTCCCTGACTTGGCTGTCCTCATACTGACAGCACACACACACTCTGGCCTTCCTCTGCTCACAATGGTTCTCTTCTCCAACTGTAGCATGCTCAAGGGATGTGGTGTTCAGAAGAGACAGAGTGTAACAGTGAATGGTCGACCTATGAGACCGATTCCAAGAGGTCACTCGATGGAATTCCAGCTCGAGCCTGTTGGGGGGATAGTTTTGTGCACTGTGTATTCAGGTGTTGCTTTCTATGCTTACACATCTGTTTGCAGTGCAGATGTGGCATGCTTATGCATCTCTGGTCTGTCTCAATGTCATGGAAGAATTGTCTTCTATCACCTCTGATTGGTTAATAGTGATGATCAGTCAGTAGCTGGTCAGGAGAAGAGATTAGGGCGGGACATCCGATCCCAGTCTGGGGTTAGGGGAGCTGAGAAAGAAAGTAGAGAGAAGAGGGGAGACCATGTGGATGGACCAGGAGGATTCCCTATCTGGAATCTGAGGAAGCCGGACATATGAAACTGAGAAGAAACCAGCCATGCAACTGAACTCAGGTTAGAATAAACAGAATAATAAGCTGAGAGTTAGGGCACCAGCCTAGTGTGTGACCTAGGTGTTTCGTAAGTAAGCCTCTAAGTTGTTATTTGGGAACTGGGGTACAGGTAGACAAGCCTGCAGTTATGAAGCCAAGAAGCAAGCATCTTGCCTCTGAGAATACATGTACAAAGGTGTTGACCGATTTAAGGGAGGTCTGGGGCTGGAGAGAGAGCTTAGTGGTTCAGAGCACTCTCTCTGTTCCTTCACGACCAGGGCATTATAATCCTGTGACAACTCACAACCACCTATAAACTCCCAATTCCAAGGCAAATGGTGCTCTCTTCTGGCTTCTGTGGGGTCCTGCATATACGTGGCTACATACACACACTCAGGCACACGGACGTACCCACAGATACTTTAAAAAAAAAAAAAAGAGGTTTGAGGCAACCTGGATTTCCATCAAAAGCTGATAGAAGCTGGGTCTGGTGGTACTCAAAAGAGAATTACCACGTGTGAACTACAGCGGGTGGAGAGATGGCTCAGTGGTTAGGAACACCGCTGCTCTTGCAGAGGACCTGGGTTCAGGTCTCAGGAACCACATGACCGCTCACAACTGTTTGTGTAAGTCCAGTTCCAGAGGATCCACAGGCTCCTGAGAGCATGTCAGGCACACACATTTTAAAAGACAGACAATACGTAAACATACATCCCCATGCAATCATGCGAGACACACGCATGTATACGGAACAGGAAGCGTTACACGGGGATAACATGGCAGTAATAGTTTGTTTTCCACTTTCCTAGACATGCTATGATGTAGCTCTTTGCAAGTGTCTACCACTGCTGTTCTTCTGTAGTTCCTAAACATTAACAGGGAATACAAAGCTAAAAAGAGAAGGGTTGAGACCAGAGCTCAGTCCACCAAATATTTGCCATGCAAGCCTTAAGTCTGCTCCTCAGAAATCAATCCAATTCTGGCAGGGTGGTGTAGAACTACAATCCTGGCCCTGGGAGGCAGAGGCAGGAAGACCTCCGGGACTCACTGGCAGCCAGGCCTACTTGTCAAACTCCAGGCTAATGAGGCCCTATCTCAAAAAAGTGTGGAGGCTGGGGATTCGGGGGGTGGGACACACCTTTAATCTCTGCAGAGGCAGGTGGATCTCTGTGAACTCAAGGCCAGCCTGGGCTACATAGTTGGTTCTAGGACAGCCAGTGTTATGTAGAGAAAACTATCTCAAAACAAATCGAAACACAAGGTGGATACCTGGAAACAACTTAGGTTGACCCTTTACCACGCTCCCACGCGTGTGCTCTGAGCAGGGGGGATCAAGGCACTGTGTGATGTAACAGTCCTGCATCACCAGTACAGAACACGCTCCCCCTTCTTTTTTTTTTTTTTTTTTTTTTATTGGATGATTTATTTACATTTCCTATGTTGTCCCCTTACCCCATCCCCCACCACCCCCTCGGAACCCCCAATCCCCTCGCCCCTCCTCCTTCTTCTCTGTGGATGTAACCTCTATCTACACCCCCCCACTCCCACCTCCCCACCCTCAAAATTCCCACCCCCTGGGGCATCCAGCCTTCATGAGGTCAAGGTTCTCTTCTTCCACCTATGCCCAGCAGGGCCCTCCACTTTTACATATTCAGCTGAAGCCCTGGATCCCCCCCTAAGTGCTCCCAGGCTGGTGGTTTAGACCCTGCAGTTCTTATCAGTTATTAACACTGGTCACACACAAACTGCCACCGTTGTCACCCCAGCACTCGAGAGGCAGAGGTAGGAGGAGACAAAGGGCAAGGTCTTCCTCAGTTACACAGTTTGGGGGCAGCCTGGGCTACATGAAATGGTCTCAAGGGAGCTAAAAAAAAAATGTGAGCAGGCAAAAAAATAGCTTTTAAATAAAGAGGAGGATGTGTCACTTTCTCACTAAATCACTGCTGTGCATGAGACTGAGGAAGAGAGAGCTGCAAACACCCTCCCAATGGGAGACGAAAGAAAAGACTTCCCCAAACAAGGAAAGCAGTGACACCCCACACCCCCCCATAATGAAAACAGAATACCGAGAGCCCACCAGGTATGGCTGTGAACTTGAGCTCTTGGGCTGAGGGCTGCTGGCAGTCTATCAGGGACAGTCACTCTCTTGACAGCAGCCTGTGAGCTGCCGGTGTTTACCTGGGAGACTGTCAGGGAGCGGGAGGCAAAGGAAGGCAAACACACTGAAGCCACGAGCAACTGTGGCTTTTATATGTTTTATTTCCAAGAAATGACATCTTGTTTTCATAGAAAGGTAAACCAGGCCACAGGGTACACTCAACTGTCCACAACCATGTCAACAGGGTGTGTGAGGTGCCAAAAACAATCAACAAATTAAGAAACACAGAACTCATTCAATGCGTAGTGAGGCGGGCGGTCAGAGCCGGAGTCCAGCAGCATTTAAGACGGTGGTGTCGGCAGGGCCAGCACGATGGCAGGCCAGTGACAGACTTCCTAACTCAGTCTCCACAGCGCATGGCTTCCAGATGCTGTCCAGAGCAGCCTCAGGGAATCCTCTAGAACACACCGAGCCGCCATCCCCCTAGAGTCTCTCACATGTCCTTGGAGCATAACCTTCATGACAGTCTCTTTGCTTTGAAGAGAAAGACAGACACATGAAGGAGGAGCCTGTGTTTCATCCCCTCACGCCCCCGTCCATCTTTGCCACCTTTGCCTGTCCACACCACTAGAGGAAAGGGAGAAAGGACGCTTGGTCCTGGTGGAGTCTGGAGGATGGTGTTGCCCAGGCAGCCTCCAGCAGCCAGAGGATCCCACTTGAGGCAGCAAGTCCCCACCTTCACACAGCACAGGCTCAGGAGTCACTGTCCTGCACTAGAGCATGCACCACGTCTATTTAAATTGAACTCGGCCTGTGTTCAAGGTTATCCTGCAGCCTCTATCTGAACCTGGTGATAGTCTCAATTGTGTATGGGACGGCACTTGGGAAGACCGGTCTTCTCAGCTGGGGAAGCTTTCCTGGATGCTTCCAAACAGACGGCAGCTTCTGATGACACGGCAAAGACCTCTCACGAGAGGTCACTACATCAGGGACCAGCTCTTGCACCTCTAGGCAGAAGGCAGCAGCTTCTGCGATCCCAAGAACTACAGACTCACAGAAGTCTGAGGTGTCAGTACTTTTGGGTCACTAGTCCCACAGTCCACATAGCCCCAGAGCTCACCACCACAGGACAGTCCTTTCTCCAACAGTTCCTGTGATGCTACTGTCTTAACTCTGTGGACACGTGCACTCCCATGGGTGTGTAAGCCTGCAGGGAGACAAATGTCTGTGCGTGTGAGGGTGGAGGCCCGTGTGTGTGTGTGTGTGTGTGTGTGTGTGTGTGTGTGTATGAAGGTGGAGGCGTGTGTGTGTGTGAGGGTAGAGGCCTGTGTGTGTGAGGGTGGAGGCTTATGCCTGTGAGGGTGGAGGCCCATGTGTGTGTGAGGGTGGAGGCCGGTCAGCCTTAGGTGTCTCCCTCAGCTGTCTACCAGGTTCTTTGCGACAGTCTTTCTCTCACCATGACCCGGGTCCACTGAGGAAGCTCCCAGCAAGCCTCAAGGACTCACCTGTCCCCACCACCGCAACACTGGGATTTTAAGCTTCTTAAATGGCTCGGGGAGTCGAGCTTGGGTCCTCATCTTGTGAGCACTCATCTTGTGAGCACTCATCTTGTGAGCACTCTGCCATCCCCTGCCTTCCCGTCGTCTCAAATCGTATTTATCAATGAGGAGGAAAAGAGGAGCAAATTCAAGAGGAAAACTCTGGTTTGTTTTTTTTTTTGGTTTTTCGAGACAGGGTTTCTCTGTGTAGCCCTGGCTGTCCTGGAACTCACTCTGTAGACCAGGCTGGCCTCGAACTCAGAAATCCACCTGCCTCTGCCTCCCAAGTGCTGGGATTAAAGCCGTGCGCCACCACCGCCCGGCTGAAAACTCTTATTTTAACAACGAGGAAAAGAACAGAAGAAACAAAGACAGGGGAGCAATGATGAAAAACCAGAGGACGTGTCTAGTCACGCCTGCTCTTTCCCGGCAAGAACTTTGCAAAGCATACATTTTTAAAATCAAAACCTTACATCTAGGCCTGGTGGCTCTAGGGGAGGCAGAGGCAGGTGGACCTCTTTTGAGTTTGAGGTTAGCTTGGTCTACACAGCAGACCCTAGCTCAGTAAACAATCAATCCAGTGTGGTGCTACACAGTCCTTGGGTGCAAGCTCGTGGAGCCATTTTCCTTGGCACACAGTCCTAATCCTACATGCTGATTCTGATTCCGAGTAAATGACAGTCTCTCGGGACAGGGCTGGGCAGTGTCTGCTATCTCACAGGCTCTCCAGTGTTCTTTACCAGACACCACCCGACTGCTACTAACCCACCGAGCAATCCCTTCAAGGCCGGTTTCTAAGAAAGGAGATGGACAACACCAGAGAGACTTCCAGAGGAGCAGATAGACCTGTTCAGAGTCCAGGACCCTTGCCGTTTCTCTGCCACCTTCCTCTTAGCTACACACAGAGGTGGCTGAAGTCACAGGCCAGGTAGATCTTCCTAGAGGCCTTCAACTCAGGAACAGCCGTCTCAGACCCAAAATGCCTTCTCTCCACATACACTCATCAGGAGATTCAATTTAGTGTTACAATAGCAAGGGACCAGGGAATGCAATCTGTGGGAATCAGAACTGAGAAAACAATTTACCTCCAGATCTTTTGTTTTCCTATTCTGTCTCCTGTCCCCTCCCATGCTGGGCCAGATGCCTACCCTCCAGCTGTCTCCATCCCTGGCTTCTTTCAATTTCAAAACTCAGGGAGTTGAGCATAGTGCCTCAAGCCTAAGACCCCAACCCTTGGGAGGTCCAGAGGGAGGACAGCTGGGAGTTTCAGGCTGGCCTAGGGTCAGACTCTCAACCTACCCTAAAACCACCAGAAAACCAGGAGGAGAAGAGGAGGGAAAACTGCTGGGGAAACCAGTGTGGATATACTTACTAACCAGTTAATTTAAGGGGAGGAGAAGAAATCGGGGAGGGAGAGTCTGACAGAAGAATGGCCCTCCCCAACCATCTCTCCTCCAGCAATTTCAGACCTTTTCCTCTAGAGGTGCCTGCTTCACCACAACACAGTCACAACGACTTCTGGTACAGACGTCTCATTTGACTGTGTTATTTACACAGATGCAAGGCATGCTTCTTTAACTCTGCTTTCACCCAGCTTTCTACTCTTCCTTCTCCTCACCAGCTAACCCGTCAGGAGGTGCTGCTCCCACTAGGACCTAAAGTAGAGACACCCAGCAGTCAGGGAAGCTGAGGAAGGCACCGCTCTTGGAGAGCATAGGACATCTGCATGAGAATCAACCAAACACTTGTCAAGCTTCCAGAGCAAGTGTTCTTTGTTTATTTGCATTGTTTTATGCATATGGGTGTTTTACCTACACATATATGCGGGCCATGTGCATTCTTGGTGCCTCAAGCAGCCAAAAGGTGTGTGGGATCCCTTTGGACTGCAGTTACAGGCAGTTGTAAGCCAGCGTGTGGGTTCTGGGAACTGAACACAGGTCCTCTAGAAGAGCAGAAAGTGCTCTTCTTGACCACTGAACTCTCTTCAATTCCAGATCCTAAGTTCTTTTTAAAAATTCCCTCACTAAGGAACAAACGAGCTTTCAAATAGCACCCGAACAGTCCAAGAGAGTCGGCATTCTAATTTAAACTTTTCTCTACCCTTCGCTGCAGCCCAACAAAGCCCCTGATGGCTCTGGCATGTCTTTCCCTAAATCAGGTCTCAGAACCTTCTGTCTAGACAAAGGCTCAGAGCTGCCCTTGCTGTGATGGCTGCCACATGTGCGAGCACGGATGCAGCAGGGAGCTGTTTCCTCAACACTCACTCCTCTTGCCAGAGAGGCCTGGGGGTAGCCTGCTTAGCTTCTGCAGAGAAGGGAGGAGGGACTGGGATCCTTAGTCTATGCAGATGACTCTCCAGAAGAGGACAGAGGTGGACTTGGGCTCTTCCAGTCAACAGCTGTGCCGGATAAGAAGAACACAGGCTGGGCAGACAAACTCTCACAGGCCTCCCACCCTGACCCAGACAACACACTTCAGCTCAAAAGTCATAACCTGATCCTCATCTAATCTGGCTCCCAGGACAACAAAAGGAAGCTGTCTCATCCACTGGCAGCCCCTCCCAGTTTTGGCTGTACTGCAAACATGTGCCATGCCCTCGGTTTGGAAAGCAAGCATCCAGAAAAGTCCTAAGGCTTGGCCTAAACATGGCTTCCTCCACAGGATCCTCTCTCATCTCCACCTGGTCAGAGCGGCGTAAACGGCCCCTTCTCTGAAGCCGCACAGCCCCTCAGGTGAGCTCGAGAGCAGCTGAGGTGCTCTCTCCCTGGGCTGGTGCAATGCTCCTATGGAAATACGAGCTGGACATGGAGAAATCTGGGGTTCTGCCAAAATCAAGGGCAGAGGTAAAACCTGTGGAGACTAAACCGAGCACAAAATATTCTAGCAGGTATCAGGAAAGCAACGAGGGCACACTTCCTTTCAAGGGTCAGATCGTACTCCTGGACAGGAAGTGACTAAGGTAAAGGCACACTTCCCGCTCAGCACCCACACCAGCCAGGTCTGTGACGAGCCTCCTGCCTGCCGAGCTTCAGACTGTGGCTGCATATGAATCAACAACAGCTCCTGTCCCTGCCTGGACAAGCTGCTTCCAGTAAAGGGCGAGGAGAGAAGGCGAGCACGGACGAACACTCACAGACTGCTATGATAGCATTTGGCCTTTGAGGCTGCCCAGCTCCTCTCAGCTCAGGAACACAGCCCGGCCACACACACTGTGGCCATGTGACAGCATCACAGACAGCAGATGAGCTAATTTCCAACTCCCAGAAGGTAGTGACAACATAACAGCCATGGGCATCCTGCCCTTTGTGCAATGGCTCTCCGTGCAGTAACCAGTACTGCCTACCCAGCAGCCTCCTTGTTTTGTGCTGAGAGTCTTAAGCTGCAGCATGAAGGAATGGCTCTCTGCAGTCCTTAACACAGCAAGGCCCAAGAGTGGCATCATCACTTAAATCGGTGGTCCTCAACCTGTGGGCCACAACCCCTAAAGACCATCAGAAGTGGGTATTTACATTGAGATTCAAACAGTAGCAAAGTACAGATGGTTATGAATGGTAGCTAAGTAACTGCATGGTTGGAGGTCACCACAACGAGAGAGACTGTAGGTATGAAAGGGCTGCAGCAGAGGCTGCTGAGAACCACTGACCTAAATGAACAGACGTTCACTACGGAGGGAGGGACAGTTCGGCGACACTTGCCATCCCTTCCCAATCTTCTCAAGTCCCCTGATTGAGAGATGTGTTATCAAACCCACCAGGACTCAACAGATGTGTGTGTGTGTGTGTGTGTGTGTGTGTGTGTGTGTGTGTGTGTGTGTAGTGCTAGGGACTGAATCCAGGGCCTTGCAGATATTAGGCAAGTACAACTGACTACGCAGGCGTGCAAGTGTGTGCGCGCACACACACACACCCCATCTATCTCTAACTGGCCAGCTGCCTTCAGCAACAGCACCACCTGGTGTGCAGACGGCAAACCATCTGACTGTTTTCCAGGCCCAGCTTTCACTGCCCTCCAGGGAGCACGCAGGGATACACATGGTGGATGCTCAAACAACAAACAACAGAGATTAATTCTAATTCGGTTCTTTCCTATGTGGGCCATCTGAACTCCCTATATACTCCAACTTCTCCTGCTTGTACTTAATTAAAAAAACATTTACTAAACTCTATTGTCCAACTCCACCCTGTAAAACTACCTGCTGTAGCTAAGAGAAAAGGCAGCCCTTTGTCAGGGAGAGGAGCTCCCGCAGACACTCACCTCTCCGTTCCCTAATAAGGACACTTCTTCTTTCCTTCACGTCTGAGCTAAGGTTATCCACCATCTTACTAATGCAGTTGTCCAGAACCAGGGAGTTGGTTCTGGACTCAATGTCCTTTCGACAAATGGGACACTCTACTTTCCGTTTCATCCATTCATTGATACAGAAGGAGCAGAAGCTGTGGGCACAGTTCAGGGTGACAGCCTGCAATGTGAAAGGGACACTCTTACTTTCTCAAAGCACAATGACGGACAGGCAAAGTGACTCCAGTCAAAGTGGCTGGTCTTCCCTCAGGAGGCTGTCACACCCAGCCTCCCTAGGGACTGCCTAGGAACAGGAATCCCTCTGAACATGCATCTTCCTTTCCAAAGGTACCACACACCAAACCACACCACGTGGTATTCAACTGCATAAGCGGGACACTCTTAGCATAAAATGAATTGGCTACAAAAGGTAGGAAAATTTATGAAAATTAAAACAGCTGGAGTAATAATATGGCAAAGTAACAAACGGTAGCCTAGGAGAGAGGTGTTTGCTTTTCAAAAGGACCCTCAAAGCCATGACATACGCATTCTGGCGCCCGGTACCCACAGTGGCCACACAATCAATGGCATTCACTACCCTGCTTCAAAGCCAAACTCCAGGTCCACACGGAGCACCATGCCCATCTGGAGGAAAGGAACAGCAGCAGTAGCGGGCAGTTTCATTCCAATACTTCAAAATCCTAAGGCTGCGGCTCTGACAGGCTTTCACTGTAGTTAGTGGAACTATGCACGCAGATATCTAAGAGGGGAGCGGTACAGCGAGGCCTGCGTGACGAGCAGTGAGGGCAGACGTGGCTGTCTGTGCACCGGCTGGGGCTGGGCTGAACCCCCGCTCATACTTAACTCGATGAAGTACTCCGAGCAGATGATGCACTGCAGCTCGTTCTCCAGCACGTCGTTCATATGACTCAGAACCTCCTCCTTCTGCGCTTGGACCTTGTCCTTTTCTTCCTGCAAAGACACACCACCACCTGTCACAGGAAACCGCCAGAACGCAGGACAGGACAGGAGCAAGTGCGGCGTGACCGGGGCACCTGTGCAGGACTGTAACTCTCCCTGTGGGTTACCCTTTCCCAAGAGCTGCCTCCTAACACAGAAGCTGGCTCCCTGTCCTCCCACTCCCTGTGTGTTGAAAGCTAACCTGCAGTGTGACAGCATTAGGGTGAAGCCCAGAGGTGTCTAGGAGGATGGGCGGGACAGGATGAGTGGCCTACAACAAAGGCGGCAGGAGCTGGTTCTGCTCTTTTCCCATGTGAAGACACGGTGAGAAATTATCATCTGTGGACCAAAATCGTGTCCTTGCCAGACTCCATCCACATCTGCCAGTACCTTCCAGGACTGCTAGCCTGCAGAACTTTGAAAGATGCATTTCTGTGGTTCATCAGCTACCCAGTTTACAGTGCTTTAGCTGCAGCGGCCTGGATGAACTAAAACCAGACTGGCTCGGCATCTGCTCTATGTGTCATTTCTGTCCCTTTCCACACAGAGCCAAGGTGGGGGCTGGGGGCACTAGCAAGTCACAACCTGAGTATCAAACTTTTCCCCAAAACTGTAATTTCCCAGGACAAGAGACAAAGAGCACCCTAGAGGCAGGGGCCTGAGTGAGTGTGCAGTCCCTTGTAGAGCTAGCAGCTGTCTTTGAGGACAGAATACTACCTATCCCTCCTATGACCCCCAGGCATGGCTGGAAAGAAGTCCTTTTGGGCTCCAACCCTCCAATGCTTGCCCCTCCTGTTCTGTTCCCGTCTATCCCCAAGGTCAGAGCACCCATGGACTTACTATTAGGAAGGACCCTAGCTATGCTCTTTGAAGTTGTAAATCAGTTATGTCATCACCCCTCAAACAGGAAGCAACAGGAGTCCAAGAGAGGGAGGAAAAGCCATTCAAATCACATCTGAGCAGTCAGCTCTGTCTGTCTTTTTCCTTTCTAATCAAAACAAACTAGTAAGTCACTTAGGGGAAGAAGATCCAGACTAAAGTCATGTTCTCTGAGATTTTTTTTTTTTTTTTTTTTTTTTTGGTTTTTCGAGACAGGGTTTCTCTGTGTAGCCCTGGCTGTCCTGGAACTCACTCTGTAGACCAGGCTGGCCTCAAACTCAGAAATCCGCCTGCCTCTGCCTCCCAAGTGCTGGGATTAAAGGTGTGAGCACCACTGCCCGGCCTCTTTTTTCTTTTTTTTTAGATTTTTGTTTTATGTATATGGGTGTTTTGTCTACAAGTATGACTGTGCTCGTACATGCACTGGTGCAGAGGCTAGATTCCCAGGTCTTCTGAAACCAGAGTTACAGATGGCTGTGAGCCACCATGTGGGATGCTGGGACTTGAACCTCTGGCAAAGCAACAAGTGTTCTTAACCACTGAGCCATCTCTCCAGCCCAACGTAAAAAAAAAAAAAAAAAAATTAAGTTCCTAGGTTTTAATATATGTGGTAAAGCAACTCAGAAGTTGGAACCAGGATTAAGAGTTTAAAGTAGAGGTGGAGGTGGAGCTGGGCTGGAGAGACAGCTCAGTGGTTAGCAGCACTGGCTGCTCTTCCAGAGGACCCAAGTTCAATTCTTAGTAGCCACATGGAAGCTTACACCTGTCTGTACTCCAGTTCCAGTTCTAGGGGATCCAACATCATCTTCTGGCCTCTTTAGTTACTACATACATGTGTTCATATGCAAGCAAAGTTCTCATATATATATATACACACACACACCTATCTGTATCATCTATATCTATTTCTATTTTTTTAAGAAAGTAAGCCCAAAGTAATTCTTGCTAGGAGAAGAAGAAAGAGGAGCAGGAGGAGGAGGAGGAGGAGGAGGAGGAGGAGGAAGAGGAGGAGGAGGAAGAGGAGGAGGAGGAGGAGAAGAAGAGAAAGAAAGGAAGAAAGAAAGAAAGAAAGAAAGAAAGAAAGAAAGAAAGAAAGAAAGAAAGAAAGAGAGAGAGAAAAGAAAGGCAATGTTGGAGCCACGTGAGCCACGTGTGGTACACAGCAGCAGTCCTACTGGATCAGCGGCCAGCCAGGGTTATCCAGTGAAATCCTGTCTCAGAAAACAAGCACAAGGTACCCCAAAACAAAAGGTACTGACTTAACAAAGGACAGGGATATCAATCTGTCAGGGAGGTACCTTCCTTTCTGTCCTCGGCTCCAGCTCTGACCCCGAGTAGGGTGAGATACGGTCTGACTCAGGACACTCATTCCATGTTAGCTAGAAACTGCGACCTGTGGCCTAAGCTTGCACGTATATTCAAACATCACATGGTTCCTCTAAGTATGTATTTTATGGTTACACAAGCTTAAAGAAAAACGTTTCACTTACACATCTGGATTTCAGCGTCCTGTGAAAGAACTGGATCTGAGAAGACTGGCCTTGCGCTGCTGGGTGGCTTCTGACTGAGGAGAGAAGAGCTGCCTTCTGGGAAGGAGGCAGAAGCACCGGCCTCACAGTGTTCTTACACTCAGATCGCTTCCCTTACTTTATTACTGGTCTAGCCCTGGGAGGCACTGATGTTTGCAACTTATAATTTAGGAGTTCTACCGATCTGGTGGGGAGACAGCTTCTAATGGAGACTCCCCCAGCAAAGGCTCGCATGCAGGGTCCATGCCTTCTTCCCAGCATTTAGCTTCTCAGCAAGGAAGGAGAGGGATGCTGCCTCACAGTGAGTATGTATAGGGTGAGGAACTATAGATTATCTCCCTGAGGTAAGGAACAACTGTCTGTATTCACCACAGCAACCATGCACTCTAGAGAATGCTAGGCCGCACGCACTAACGCCTCTGTCTGCCGTCCCGTACCTTGGTCCGCTCCAGTTCTCTGTTCTTGGCCTGAATGATTTTCTCGAAGTCCTTCTTGCTGCGGTTCAGTTCTTCCATTAGAGCCCGATGCTATAGAGACAGCAGGGACGCCGTCAGGGACGCTGTCAGGGTGAGCTGAGCAATACCCACCCTCTCGTTAGCCACACGCCTCTGCTTCCTCCCTCCGCTCAGTGGCTTTTGTCAGTGGCTTTAGGGACCAGTGATGACAATTTCAAAAACTGCCTTCTTTCATTCAGGATGATGGCTCAGGACGGGAGAGAGGACAACAGATCTGTTAGTCCTTGGGGACTGACCCGGCCCGAGTTGTCTACAAACTGGCATGCCCACTGTGACTGTGGGCTCTACAGCTCTCCTGCCAGTCTGAAAGAGACCATCTTCAGAGGGATCATCCACACCAGGTCAAGCAGGAAGGCAAAGAAGGATGACCTGACCCCATTCAGACTGATGCATGACCAAGCCTCGCCACACGAGTTAGAGCAGGCACGAGCGTGCCGGAGCTGGAGCCACAAGGGAGCAGAAAACCCCAGGCCTTCCTCACGGCAGGGCGAAGCCTGACTCTCTCTGGCCAGTTTCAAAACATCTAAGATTGGTTTAAAACCACTCAGGAGGCCAGTGCTGGCTCCTGGGTAAAGGCACAGCCTGCAGACCTCAGTCTGACTTCTGGAATCCACACAGAGGAGGGAACCCACTCCCAAAAGCTCCCAAAGTCACACATACTGTGGTACATGAGCACCCATGGTCTCTTTATTTACTGCGTGTATATGAATATAAACCACATGTGTTCACGTGCCCTGGGAGACAGAAAGCTGTGTCCAGTCTCCTGAAGCTGGAGTTAGAAGGGGCTGTAAGCTGTCTGAGTGCTGGCAACCAAGTCTCCAGCCTCATGTGAATGCTGGTCTGAAATCAGCAGAGACCCCTGAAGCAACCGCAGGCAAGCTGGTCCCTGTGCCCCGAGGCTTTAACCACCTCATTAATCTTGCACTGAACTTCCATCCAGTCACTGATCACAAGCAAAGCTCAAAGAGGAAGCAAGTTTTTATTGTTTTTTTTTTTTTTTTTTGAGACAGGGTCTCACTATGCAGACCAGACTGGCCTTGAACTCAGGAGATGTACCTGCTGCCCTGCCTCCCAAGTACTGAGGTTAAAGGTGTCTGCTGCCGTACCCAGTGGAAGCAAGTTTTAAAGGTATAAGGAGCACATAAAAGGTAGTCAAGTACAGAAGCCCTAGGGATCAGTGAACTAAATCACTGGCAGGCTGCTGGAGGACTTCAAGCCATAGCTGCACTACTTTAATGGGTACTTTTTAGACAAGAACACTCCTGAATGGTTTCTGGATGTCACAGTGTAGGGATGGTGACGTACAAAAGCGCTCATGGCCCTTAAGGCCCAGGTCTAGCTAACCGCTCCCTGCTGCTGCCGCCCTCGCTAGACTGTAAGTAGAGCTCCTATCTCAGAGAGCATCTACAGGCTGTTCTGTCATCACCAGAGCGCCTTCTGCTTGATGAAGACGTAAGTTTCCACACTGAGATCTGCTGTGTATCTGTGAGGCTCCAAATCTCCAGCCTGATGGTGTGAGCATCTGGCACCTGTTCTGTTTGCAGACTAGAGATAACAGAGGAGTGGGCTCAGAGGCAGGCAGCTAGTGGCCCTGTGGTGCTTGGCTGTTCTCCACCCACAACTCCCCCAGCCTCTGGAAGTGGGAGAGACTACGTTACCTCCTGTAGCGCCTGCACCAGCTGCTGCTTCAGGTCGCACTCTCCTCGCTCTTTCTCCAAACCCTGAAAAGCCAAAAGGAAATGGAAGGTTTCTGCAGGGCAGGGGGACAGACCCTAGGAGCAGTCACAACAAGGAACACAGGGCAGGGGGCAAGCACGAGACTCCAGTTTATTTCAAGGGACGTGAGCAGAGTTATTTGCTCAACTACCACGCTCGGCTTCAAGACTGGGCTTCAGGCCACCCAGTGAGCGGCTCTGAAACACCACAGAGCGACACTCCTACATCTTTTATTACCATAATACTCAAATGGATGGAGTCTGAGAACTGAGCTACAAACATCTAAACTCAATACCCCCCCAAGGCTGGCCCCCACAATGCTTCCCTGTCCCGTCCCTCCGCTCTGACCACCCTCTGCCCTGGCCTGAGTCTCCGCTGCCTTTCCCAGTAGCCACACGGACTGGACTCATCTGTGGCCAGCTTCCTCCATGCAGTCTGTGTTCTTGCTGCCTTAGGGATTCCCTACAGGGTGGGGAACTCAACTCGTCATAATTTAATGTGCCAACTCTTCTTCCAATGTGTTAGTAAGGACCATATCTTGTTTCTACAGATCAATTACTTAATGATTGAAAATGAGCATTTTAATAACAAGCAGAATTCCAAATACAATGTCAGGCCAGGCTGCCGTGAGGGCAGAGGGAGATGCGTTAACGCACAGCATCGGGCATGCTTCTCAACTAGTCCCTTCTGCCTGTAACCCTCTGCTCCAGAAAAGACTGAGCACCTGTCTCTTTAGGACAGTGCAGCCACAGGTACACTCTCATCTCTGAACACACTACCCTTTAAAGAGAATTCTGCTCAGTGTTGGGGTGATACCCTAAACAGGAGAGTCCCACCCTGTTAACTTACAGCCGTCTGGGCTGGACAAGGGGAGCAGAAGCTACTTACCGACCACGCATGCCCTGAGGCATTTGTGTAATCCACGGCTTTTGCTAACCTTACCAGCTCAAGGAGACACCAGAGGTTAGAAAGAAAAGCATAAACTCTTCAGAAACAAGCCAACACCACTACAGGCTGTTCCTTGCCCAGAGAGACCCAAGCAAGATAAAAAAAAAACACCTCTGTACTTCAGCTGTGACTGGTCCTTTTTGGTTTTAAGTCAACAATAGGGAATTCTTGACATTCGCCATTACCTGAACAGCTGGGGTGGGAACAGCATGGTCCCTGCCACAGGGGAACTGACATTTTAAGCAGGAACAGGATCAGCTCCAGCCTGAAGCTTTATGCAAGAGCTTGTCAGCAAAGCAAATGATCTGGAGTGGGGAACACATTTGGTCCACCCTCCATACCACTCAGTCACGCCTATTTCTAGTAGAGGACAGTGGCTTATCATTCAGCCAGGTGTGTGCTTCCAGGGCATTCTGACTGATCAAGACAGGAACAAAAACCAGTCTCTGCTGCCGCCACCCACCCCAGGTGAGCTAGACTTAACTGCACAGCCCATGCATTGTCATGTACACAAAGACAGGGTACCTAGCTGACCTGCACCTGCTCTGACAGCAAAGAGCAAAGAAGCCCGGAGGACATGGTTTGCTAGCATCCTAACCTTTATCCAGCCTCTCTCTGACTTTACCTCAGATCTGCAACCCGTTTCCCAGAAGAGACCAGCGCCTCCAGGCGGCTGCTGCAGTCACCTTGCTCATCCTGGCACCCTGCCTGGATCCTGACCACACCAGTGTGCTGAAACCCCATCCTTCTCAAACCCCACCTCAGTTTCCCACTCCCACTCTGTCTCCTGTGCTTAACACAGTTCCTGCCTCAGAGACAACTCTAGCCAGGAGCTCACAAAGTGCCTGCCCCCCCACCCCCAGGGCGCCCCCACACGCCTGCTGCCTCTGTGGTACCTGGAGGAAATGCTCCTCTTCCTGGAAAGTCCTCTCCAGCTGCTCCACCCTTGCCTGCTGCTGAGCCTGCTCTGCGTACAGCTGAGACTGTAAATCTCGCAGCTCCTTCTCCAGCCTCACTATCTTCTTGGAGCTCCCCTTCCGAGTCTGCCTCTTGACGTTCAGGACAGCGATCTGCTTTTCCTGCATCTGTGTTTTCAGCTTCAGCATCCTGGACATGGTCACCTTAAACAGTTCTAAGCTGCTCTGAGACGCTGATGGGCTGCAGGCCTTCTGCTTCTTAGGACAGAGTTCGAGGACCTTTGGAAGAGTAGAGCGAGCATGAGGCCCAGTGGTCCCCTCACTGGCCTCAAGGGAGGTCAACGTAGGACACAAACATCGCAAGGGCCGACTTGCCGCTTCACCTTTGCCGTGTAACTTCTCTGGCTCAATGGGTTTACTGGAGATTTTAGCCAGTGGGCATCTGAGATTTGAGGGGCCCTCAGCTGGAAGACTCTCTAGCCCATCCAAACTGAATTTCCTCTTAGTTCTCAAGCCTTTATGCTTTTCCGTCGTCTGGTCATTCTTGGGCGCAAGGCAGGAAGCCAGACTCTCCACGTCTTCTTCAATAACTTCGTACTCATACTCTGCGGTCTCCTTGTCTTCCAGCGGCACTCCGAGCTGGATATGGTCTCCCTTACGGATGCAATAACCCTGGAGCGGTGCCAGACGTTCTCTGTTCAGCCAAACACCATTCAGACTCTGGGGAAAAAGAAAGAAAAACAAAATAAGCTCATGAGTTTCCTCCTCTTAATGGAATTTCTCTCTTGCTGCTGCAAAACCTTCTGCCTTTTCAGAAGGAACCCTTGAGAACAAACAGAAATGAAAGGTTCATAAAGCACGATCTCTGGAAAGAGCACGGTGCGCACAGTGTTCCAGCGTCCTACCTATATGACACACTCATCCCTCCACAGAGAACGCCTGTGTAACAGGCCAAAGTCTCCTTACTAAAACACAGCAAGCACTCAACAACAAACACTCGAACTCAATCCCTCCTATTGACCTAAACTCCGGCAATGAGTCAAGACTGGAGAAAATGCTCCTAGGGAGGGAAGCACCACCACAGCGGACCACAGCCAGGTTTAGGCAGGAGTCACCCACGCTCTACACATGGGCCCTCGACACACTGAACAAGCAAACATGCTCAGTGTACAAACACTAAGAGGACAGTACCAATACTCCATACTGGGAGTCTGAGTGTAGGTGAGACTGACCCAAGGAACAGCAGTAGCTGTGTACACGAGGTGCAGTGTAGCAAGCAGAGCTGCGGCTCTCTCTCGAGCCCACAGACCAAATTCAACACTGGCTGTACTAGCTGCATACTTTCAGCAACTTCTCTTGTCTACCTCCGCTTCGTCTGTAAAACGAGGAAGTCTGGGATCTGCCCCACACTGAAATGCACAGCACAGCACTCCAATACCTAAGTCTGTGCTCCCAAACCTCGTTATAGTAAGTGACACTGTTGAGAGCGGGAGGGGTTGAGAGCGGGAGGGGTTGAGCTCAGGAGTAAGAGCTCACTACAGCTCGGCTTGACACTAGCTAGAGTCCTGCATTAGACTGCCTGCGTTTACAATGTGTCTATCATCTAAGAGTTGAATGACACTGGGCAGACTTCCTGTTTGTTTTTATGTTGGTTCCTGTGTCTATCAGATGATAATCTTTCTGGCAATCCCCGTGTGATTTAGCATGTGTAGCATACCTACAACAGTACCTGGCACAACCGATACATCACTTCACCTCTGTGCTCAACAGCCTACTAGGTGGCATGGCCCCCATAGACTCATTACGTGTTTGCTTGGCCATGGGGAGTGGTACTATTAGGAGGTGTGGCCTTGTTGGAGGAAGTGTGTCACTGAGGAGGGGGGCTTTGAGGTTTCCTACACTCAAGCTACACTCAGTGTGACAGTCTCTCCCTGCTACCTGCAGATCAAGATGTAGACTCTTGGCTCCTCCTGCACCATGCCTGCCTGCATGCCTGCCTGCCTGCTGCCTGCCTGTCTGCTGCCATGCTCCCCACCACGATTACAATGGACTAATAATCCTCGGAACCTGTAAGCCAGCCCCAACTAAGTGTTTTCCTTTATAAGAGTTGCTGTGGTCACAGTGTCTGTTCACAGCAATGGAAATCCCAAGTAAAACAGCAGGTAAAGACACCAAGGACAAAACCGATATAAAAACAGCTTTTAGCAGCTATCTGTGGGGAAAACAGCACAAGGACACAGTTAAGTCTGGAGTCCTACAGCACAGCCAAGGGAGCCATGTGGAGGTGGGTCAGCTAAATGGAGATGGCAAGTCCTAAAATAGACTTCGGAGTTAACGGGATACTACTGGGAGGGCTTTTAACTTTGGGGGAGAGTCCAGAGATTAAACTCACTGCTGAACTGAGATGAAGACTGATATTTATACGGTATTTTTTAGGTTAGCAATCTGTTAAAAGTATCAGTCAATATTCTAAATGTCTTTAACAAAGCACAGTATACAATGTAAATGGACAAATCATAAATGTAAAGCGAGGTGAAGCATCACAAAGTGAACACCTTAGCACTCTCTACAACATGGCTTTAAAAAGCACATCACAGCATCCAAGGAACCCTTGTCTCCTCCCCGCACAAGGGGACTAGTATCCTGGCATAATGGCTTCACCTAGTTGTGAACATCATACAAATCTTACTCTCTATTCTGTCAGGTGTGTGCACACATGTGTACGAGGCCAGCACTGGGTGTTTTCCTCAGGTGCTCTTTGCTTTGCGTGTTTTGTATGTCTATTTACCATGTATATACCTGACACCCATGGAGGTCAGAAGACAGCATCAGACCCCTAAACCCAGAGCTGTGGACAGTAGTCAGCCAGCATGTACATGCTGAGAATTGGGCCCTCTGCAAGAGCAATGGACATTCTTAACCAGAGTCGACCCACCTCCCCAGCTCTGGATTTGGACACACACAGATTTCGACATGGAGTCAGGTCCGCGTGCCTGCCTCACAATCTCCCTAGCCCCTACTTTGTTTCTTGAGACAGCATCTGGCTATATAATCCAGGTTAGCGTGAAAGTCAGAGTCTCCTGCCCCACCGCCCAGTTCTGGGATTACAGGCAAATATTAGCACGTGTGGCAACCTGCTGCAAAGTCTTTTCACTCAATATCATGATTCTACGACTGATCCATGTTCAGCACAGTAGAAATACACTGTAGAAATATTTATACATTCTACATGGGTGGGCATCACAAATGTGTCCTAGAGACAGAAACTGACACACACACAACTGGATGAGTCACGGACTGTCACAATACTTGTGCCTACTGGCCATCCCTCTGAAGGAGAGTGTGTCCCTCACCCTAGCTGGTACCCAGCATCACCGGCTTTTACTTTAGCCATGTTAGAATGTGTGGTTTGGATTTGAGTTTCCCTGCGCACTGAGTTTAAACAACTTCTCATGGATAGTGAGAATTCGGTACACTCTTTGTGATGTCCACAAAAGGTACAGATTTGGAATTCTGTACACACGTGAGCAGATAGCATCAGTTATGTGAATATACAGCAATCACTTCCATCTTGGGCTCATCTTTTTCTTAATGGTGTCTTTTGAAGAACAGGAATCCTTAATGTTATACTACATCAAATATTTGTAAGCCCCGCCCCCCCGGTATGGGACAGGGTCTCAGAGCTGCTGCTCTGGGGATTCGTCTCTGCCTCCCACTTGCTTTGGGATTATAGACATGCGGTAGCTGATGGCCTTAACACGGGTCCTGGGGAGCCAAACTTGGGTCTTCATGCTTGTGTGGCAAGCGCTTTCCTACTGAGCCATGTCCTCGGCCTATCCTCTGAATCCCTCAGAAGTACGCCAGAGCTGGAGAGGTGACTCGGCAGTTACAGCACTGCTGCTCTGGCAGAGGACCCAGGTCCAATTCCCAGCACCCATAAGGTGGCTCCCAGCCATCTGTAACTGCAGTTCCGGGGCTCTGTTTCCCTTCTCTCCTCCACAGGCACTGCATGCATGTAGTACACAGACACACATGCAGACAAACACCCACACACAGAAAATAGCCTTTATCTCACACAGGCAAACACTACAAGAGCAAACAGAAGTCAGGGCCACGGGTTGCTGTTGATGCTAGCAGACCTGAAGATGGAACTCTCCAAGCAGTGAGACTCACCCACAGAAAACACACTCACGGGACTTGAGATGCCAGATTCTACCACACAAAGGCAAAGATCACCAAGCAGCAGATGAATCTGTGGCTAACAAGAACACCCTTGTTGCTGTTAATATTTAATAAAAAGGGGCCGCGCGGGCTGACCATCTAAATGGCGGCGGCTCTGCTTAGCTCTGCCACCAAGTTCCCCAGCCAGAGGCTGCGCATGTGCGTGCCACAGCTAAAAATGGCCAGAGGCTACGCATGCACCACAGCTAGAAATGGCCAGCCAGAAACACTGGCCCTGGCACCCACAAGACGCCAGCATGGGAGATGGCTCTCCCACACTGTCTCCACAAGGTTGGGCTGAACCCAGACCATCCCGCCATCTATACAGTACCAGGCAGAAATGAGACTCTAATGCTTAAAGATTATCCAAAGGCTAATGGATATATGTCTGATAAAGCTAAATTAACAAGATGTCCACACAATTAGAGGTGTTAACCAATTAACTAACTTAGATATAAGTTGTTACCCAGGACTGCTCTCGGTACATGCACAGTTCCCCATCGCTCCTCCATCTCTGCCTCCCTAGCTTCTCCTTTTCCTCCCCTTACTCCTCCCACCTTAGCTCTTCCCAACTTGCCGGGAAAATTTCACTGCTGCACACGCCCCCTCCCCCCTCATTCCAAGGTCCGTTTCCATTACCCCCCTGGGTGCTTGTGTGTGTCCACTTTAGGCACTTCCTCGATCCAGGGCTTTGTAAATGTCCTACCAGACATTTGAGTTTTATTTAAAGGGAACTGAAGAGATGGCCCAACAGTTCAGAGTGCTTACTCCCTTTCCAGAGAACCCTGGACCCTCTAGAAAGTTCCAACATCTACATGGGGCATTTCACAACTGCCTATAACTCCAGCTCTGGAGAACCCAAACCTGTCTTCTAGCCTCAAGCACCTGTATAATGTGCATACAAGACACATAGAAATAATAATAATCTACAAAAGATTTTTAAAGCAGAAAAATCTTTTATTCAAAGTAAAATATTTCTGAGAAAAGGTGCACGCCTTTAGTCCCAGCACCCGAGAGGCAGAGGCAGTGGCTCTCTGTGAGTTCAAGGGCAGCCTGGTCTACAGAGCTAGTTCTAGGAAAGCCAGGGCTACACAGAAAAAACATGTCTTGAAAAACTAGAAAAGCAAAATTTAAAATATATAATAGGTCTGGAGAGATGGCCCAGTGGTTAAGAGCATCACATGCCTCCAGCTCAGTTCCCAGAATGCACAGAGTGGCCCAGGACTTCACCTCTGGTTCTAGAGGATCTGGTGACACTAGCCTGGGCTGGCACACGCACACACACTCACATAACACCCCTCCCTCAAAGCATGCATAAGTTAACGTAATATATACAATTTTTAAAAATCCACATCACTCAGCAGAAGCCATCAGGTTGTGTGAGCAGCAGAAGCCGTCAGGATTGTGTGAGCAGCAGAAGCCGTCAGGTTTGTGTGAGCTCTTTGTACCTTATTGTCCATAATCGTCCACTGTCCCTCAGGATTCTGCTTCAGAACGCAGTGGTTTCGAGAAATCATCAGAGGGCATACCTTTGATACCAGCTGGTATGTGACACCAAATCCCCGTCCAATAGTCACCTGAAAGACAAAGGCAATGTAAGACACAAGCAGTCACTATGCTAACAGGGAAGGTTCTTTGTAGTCTTACCAACAAGCAGCAAACACAAGTCCTGACTTATGAAACCAGACACCTGTGGATCCTAAACTGTTCATCTGCTATCCCCCCCAACCCCCTCCTCAGCTGCCACAGGAAGCCGCCACATAGAAAAAAGCAAGACGTTGTGTTAAGAGAACACTTAAGAGTTAACAGTAAGCAAAATGGAGGGGAAAAAAAGCCAGGTAGTGGCATACACCTTTAGTCCCAGTACAGGGGAGGCACAGGCAGGTAGAACTCTGCGAGTTCAAGGCCAGCCTGGTCTACATAGTGAGTTCCAGGACAGCCAGGGCTACACAGAAAAACCCTGTCTCAAAAACCAAACAGAAGACAACAACAGAAGGGTTAACCATGGAGGGCTGGGAGACAGCTCAGTCTAAGAGCACTGGCTCTTCCACAAGACCAGGCTTTTTCTCCCAACAGTCACACGGTGACTTACAACCATCCGCAACTCTAGACGGAGCAGATCTGATGTCCTCTTCTGCCCGTAACCCCACCCCAGGCTCATACACATAAAGTAATTTTAAAAAGAGCTAATCTAAACTCTCTGGCTAGTACAACCCTGAAAGGTCATTTGCTTTACCGTGGGTAAGATGGGGGACACACTACTGTCAGCTCATCCAGAGCTCGGCCTTTTCTTTCTTTCTTTCTTTCTTTCTTTCTCTCTCTCTCTCTCTCTTTTTTTTTTTTTTTTTTTTTTTTTGGTTTTTTGAGACAGGGTTTCTCTGTGTAGTCCTGGCTATCCTGGAACTCACTCTGTAGACCAGGCTGGCTGGCCTCGAACTCAGAAATCCGCCTGCCTCTGCCTCCCAAGTGCTGGGATTAAAGGCGTGCGCCACCACCGCCCGGCTGAGTATGCCAGGCCTTGGGGTTTTCTCAGTCAGTTTTTCAGTTGAGCTTGGTTCTGCCCTAGGTTCATCAGGAAATCTCCAATCCTCTTCTGACAGTTGGGGAGCGTCTCCCAAGTCACCATCCCTGCCTGTACTCCCAGGGCCTGAGCTTGGGTGTGTCATCTCAATGGGTCCGAGAGGGCTCCCTGTTTATTGTTATAGCTGTCTTACTAAGAGAATAAAAATTAAGTTCTTAGGGGTGTTTGAAAGCAGCAAAACAACAAAGTCGAATCGTGGGTTACAAGCTGGAGGCTTGTGTTCTGCTTGAGATGGCTCTCCAGACTGTACTCGCTCTCACTCTGTGTTCTGCTCCAGTTCTCCGAGCACTTCTCTCTTGCTTCCACAAGGTCAAGTCATGTACCAGCTTCCCAGTTCTAGGAAGGTTACCGTGGACGTGTGGCACCGGCTATCATAGTTACCGTGGACGTGTGGCACCGGCTATCACAGTTACCGTGGACGTGTGGCACCGGCTATCACAGTTAC